GCTGCAAGTCCTTAAACTCGAACTTAGCATCTTTCTTTAGTAAATCTGACAATGGCCTGGCTATCAACGCGTATCCTTCAACGAACTTTCTGAAATACGAAGTTAACCCAATGAATCTTTGTATAGCCTTTCTATCCTTAGGTATAGGAAAGTTTGCTACACACTGCGTTTTCTCGTCGCTGTATGTTACAGTTCCATTTTTCATAATATACCCCAAGAAATCTACCTTAGTTTTCAATATTTTTCCTTTACTCCAGTTTATCTTTAAACCATTCTTATCTGCTACCTCCAGCACTCTTTTCAACTTCTCTAAGCCTTCCTCAACATCTATACTCGGTATAATAATATCATCCATATATACTACCGCGTCACCGTTCTGAATTAGTTCTCTCATTACCGCTACTATGAAACGGGTAAAACTTGCTGACGAATTCGAAATACCAAACAGTACAAAAACAAACTCATATTGTCCTTTCTGTGTTACAAACGCTGTATACTTTTGAGACTTTTCTTCGAGCAGTACGTGGAAATAACCGTTTTTTAAATCTAATGTAGTAAAAATCAAATCTCCTTGCAATTTATCGATAACATCCTGCATCTGTACCATCGGAAAGTTATCCCGCACTATTCTCTCGTTCAACTTGCGATAATCGCAGCATTAACGTTTCTGCCCATTCTTCTTTGGCACTAATACAATCGGAGAGGCATATTCCGATGTACTGGGCTTGATTATCCCTTGCGTCAACCACTCGTTGACCTGCTCGTCTACTATGTTCTGCTCGCTATAAGCTATACGTCTGGGATGCTGATACACAGGTAAATCATCGGTTAACACAATTTGCATCTCTATAGGGCACTGTACATCTCGCCTTGGCTTGTATTCCTCAATTATCTTTCTTATTTGACCTCTCTGTGAATAGGGCAAATGCGACAAATCAATATCAATGGTCTCATTCTGCTCAAAACTCACCATACACAAACTCCTAAACTCATTCATCAACTCCATGCATGAATTAACATCTTTTTTATCTGCATGTTACTGAACTTTTCCTGCAGCACCCACTCACCGTCATGTCTACACTCTCTAGAAGAGTTCTACCCAAGATAGCATCAAAGGCCATGTCTTCGTCCGCAATCACATGAAATTCTACTATTAAGTCAATATCATTAATCTGTACAGGTATGGTGATGCTTCCAAGAGTTATAATTTGAATTTCACCAATTCCTGTTAGACATTTTTCACGTCCTACCAATCTTTCTTTACCGATCTTCAAAAACTCACTTCTGCGTAATAGACACAAGTCGGCACCTATATCGACTAGTCCTTTAAACGCTACTCTTCCATACCTTACCGATTTCAACTCTAATCCGGAAGACGTGAACGTGCTTGCTGGCTTAGTCATACCTTTCTCCAGAACTAGATTGGTTGCCTTTTCCTGTATAACTGTCATCTCGACCTTGCATTGAGCAGCCCTATGTCCCAACTGGTTGCACCTAAAACACCTGTTATCTTTCTTTGGACAATCCCGTTTAATGTGCGAGTCATCTCCTCAATTATAACACCTTTTAAACTTTTCAGCACCTTTCACTAACTCTTTTTCCCCTTTGTTGAAGTGTGAGTCAAACTTCCCTTGGAGTCTCACTGACCCTGACATCTTCTGGTATGCCTCGATTTGCACCTTTAACTGCCTCATACTCCTAGCCTGATACAGTAAAGCCCTATTTGCATTAGAATCTGGAATCCCATTAACAAAATATTCGATTAAGCTTTCGTCCTCCATATCGATCGGCTTTGGCAACTCCATCTGCCGTTTCCCTAGTCTATGATGTACCTCCGCTGATGACACCCTCACACCAAATTCGTCGATCAATGCACTCTTCAAACCATTCCAATCACGAATATCGCGCTGACTCCTTACAAACAACTTTGCTGCCCCACTGAGCAATTGTTTTGCATAAATAAATACCTGCAATTTGTTCCATTCCACCGTCAGCGCACACTCTTCAAGTTCTTCTATCCATTGATTTACGTCTGGCGAGCTTACACCTGAAAACTGCGACACACTGCCTTCTACATCTTTCAATGTAAACCAGGATCTACCTGAACTAAGCATGTCTAACCATCCACTTGGATTTTCATCTCGCCTTTCCCTTCTACCCTGCTGTGCAGTATTCGAATCTGCCGTTGTAAAAGATAATCCTTCATTAACTTCATCTTGGATCTCTTCTTCATCACTCACTTCATCGTTATTCTGATTTGTCTGAATACCATAGTGAGCCAGCAGTCTGTCTTGCAACTCAGTTTTTATTCCGTTTCTGTTTAAACCTATTTCGGCCAATTTCTCACGTAACCCTGCCACAGCCAATGCCAAAATCTCGTCTCTATTCATTTTTACAAACTTTTACAACAATATGAAAGAATAAGAAATGGATCTATGCCGTTCGCTCGGCTAAATACAGTTTGAGAATCTCAGCGCTTCTTAGACCTTAATACTTAACAGATTCCGTTCCTCAAACTTTATGTTAATTATTATGTTATGTTATTGAACATGCAAAATTAACACTATGTTAAATGACTCTGTTAAACAACAGCAGAATTGCCAAATGCAATCTGTTATTCTTCCAATACAACAACAAAATTTTTGAATGTCTGCTTTTCCAGGTTGTTTGTCGGTTTCCTCTTTGTCAGTCATAATTCGGGAACAAACTTATCTCGCTTTCGAGTTATTCCGCTGCCAATCACCCTCACCAACCAATTCCAGAATTTTCGTCGTCCTCTCACCAAAACAGCTCCAGAATTGTCGTCGCCACACCAATACAGCACCGGAATTGTCGTTGGTCTCTCTCTCTCACCAACACCGCTCCAGACTTGTCGTCGCCACACCAATACAGCTTTAGAATTTTCTCATCTTCTTCTCGCCGAAATGATGCTCCTTAGTTTTCCAACGCTAAGCACTTGCGGTTTGCCAGCTACTTTCCCTGATCCACGCTTTCTGCTTTGTCCAATGTCCACCGATAACGATCCTGCCTACTGCACGTTGCTGGTCATCCACAAATTTTCGCGTTTCCTCCAGGTTGAGTACTGCGTTCCTTTATCGCCCTCTATGCTGCTCACGTTGTTCCTCTCTATTCCGCCTGTTTCTGCTTTTACAGCTTTTGACTGCTGCGTCTCATTTCTTGCAATCACAGTCTTGCCGATTTACACGCCGTCTTTTTCTTGCAGACCTTTGGCCTTGACCAGCCGCCTTTGTCCAGCACTTGCGATCCACCAGGTACCTTCACTGCTCCACGCCTTCCACTTTGTCCAGATGTCTACCGCCAACGATCCTGCCTAATGCACGCTGCTGAACATCCACAAAGTTTTACGTTGCCTCCAGCTTGGGTACTCGTTTATTTTTGTCGCCTTTTTTGCTGTTCCTCTCGTTCCTCCTGATTCGGTTTGCTTCAGTTTTTCTTCTCTTTGCCGTTGCTGCCTGCCGCCGTCTCGCCCACTCGCACGCTTTTCTGATATTTCTTTGCGTGTTTTCGAGAGAAACTTTGGCACCGAACTGTCTGGCGTCGATCGTTGAATTCTTGTTCTCTTTATTCTTTCGACTGCCGCTTCTGGTCTCTCTATCTGTTACGGGCGCTGTTAGCTTAACAGACTCTGCGCTCTCTGTGGCTTCTCACCAAATCCCACATATATGCAATATATTTCACCAATAATCCAACTCATTCAGCCAAACATTTTTATACCCGTACTCAAAAAAGAGTTAAGGGGTATATTAGATTTGTGGTAAAAGTGGATGTGTGTAACGCAGAGAAGGAAACGTTTCCGACCCCATAAAGTATATATATTCTTGATCAGCATCAATAGCCGAGTCGATAGAGCCATGTCTGTCTGTCCGTCTGTCCGTCTGTCTGTCTGTCCGTCTTGTTGAGCGCCTAGATCTTAGAGACTATAAGAGCTAGGGCAACCAAATTTGGTTTCCACACTCATGTGATATCACACTGCTACAAGTGTATTTCAAAATTTCGCCCCGCCCCCTTCCGCCCCCACAAAGGACGAAAATCTGTGGCAGGCACATTTTTAAAGATACGATAAAACTAAACACGCAATATCGTAGAGAATGCCCATATCTACCAGATTGCCGAATCTAAATCAGATCGGATAATAATTATAGCCAGAATGAAGAAATTAATTTTCAGTTGCTTCCCCTGTCCCCCCTACAGACAACGACAACACAACTCATTTTCCTTCTCGCTCGCACACTCTGCCGCGTTCAGTGCGCGAGCAACCCCTAGCGGAGGAGATGTAGAATCTAAATGGAACATGTACATTGTACAATCTACATGTTAGATGTAGAATATACATTGTAGATGTAGATATCAGATGTAGCAAAAAAATTTTAAATGTAAAATTTTTTTTTTTTCTAAAATTCTATAAAATCAGAAGATCAAAAATGTATATACTGACTGAGTACGGGTATAAGTAGAGTCGCGTCCCCAGAAGCGACTCGCACGTTCCTTCTCGTTTTAAAATTTTATTGATTAAAATTTTTTGTAAAATTCTGTAGCAACCTCTAAAAAATAAAATAAAATCATGTAAATAACTATTAAGTCCAAGGTTACAAAACTAGGGGGTGTCCCGCTTTAATTTCCAAAAAAAAATTATCCCGGATCGGGTAATGCTTTGCCGCTTGCTCTGTCCGGGGTAATGTCTAGCCAAGGCCAGGTCCAGGTTTTCCCGACCAAAAATTGGGGGAATTGAACCATGATCATGGCTGGAGGAGCCTGGCGGGTAGGATTAAAACGCTAGGGAGTTTTCCCCCCGAGAAACATTAACCGGTATGGACCATGGAGCGGGCCAACCATGGAGCGGGCCAACCATGGAGCGGACGGATGGTCAAGCACGGGTTGGGATGTCAACCAAAACGTCGGTGGAGAGCGTGACTGCTGCCAACGGCGGGCACGGGGAGGAGTAATCCTCGCTGCGTGTCGCCAGCGGTCACACCTCGGACATGGCGGGAGCAGGTCATGTAAGTTGTTATGCTACTGCCACAAAATGGACTCACTCCAAGCTGAGCCGCACTGGTGCCGTAGTCGAGACAGACTCAGACCTGGAGACGGTGCTCTCGGTCAGCAAGACGGAGGAAGACAGCCTTCACTGCTCGCCTGAACGTAGTTCCAGCTCTCTGCGTAGGGAAGGGCCGAAGCGTTCCAGGGAGGGCATGAAGGGTAAATCCAAATACAAGGCGGCGCTCAAAGTCCGAAGCCGGCTCCAAGGCAGAGAGAACATCTCCCAAGAGGAGAAGTCCAAGCTAGCCTGGGCGGACCAGAAGGTAGAGGAGGGCCGTCTACACTTTGCGCAGATGCCGCAAATGAAAGCGACGAAGGGCAAATATGCCAAAAAGGTGGAGGAGATTCTCGCCACCAAAAGGCAACGATCGACCGAGAGCGTCAGTAAGGACACTCCGGCGAGCAAGCGGCAACGCGGGCCCAAGGGGGCGGGACCTCCACCCAAAACGGCAAAGAACCCTAAACCCAAGGCGAAGGTCAATGAGGTGACCAAACGACACCTGATCGTGGCACTCAACCGGAGCGATGAGAATGGCAAGATGACGGCGACGCGGTGGAAGATGGTGCACGTGCAGCTCGTAGAATCGCTGTTCGGAAGAATGGAGGAGTACCCAACGGCCCCCATGCCCACATTCGATGGTGCTGGGTGGCTGAACGGGGTCAAAATACTAAAATGTATGGACGATCCCACACTCAAGTGGCTAACGCAAATGGTCTGCCAACTGGAGGCGTTGTGGGAGGGGGCCAGACTGGAGGTAGTGGACAGGGAGCTAATCCCGTCCATACCAAAGGTGAAGGTACTCTTCCCCATCGCAATCCAAGGGGACCGTGCGCTGAGGCTGATACAGCAGCAGAACCCAGACGTGCCAACGGCGAACTGGAGGATCCTGCACAATTGGAGCCCATTTCCCAACGAAGGGGGCCAAAGTGCGACTCTTCAAATAAGCAAGGAGGCTAAGGGACCTGCTGTACCCCAGATTCGGGAAGATGGCGTTGGGCATGGGTAGTGTATACCTCCGCCTCAAAAACCGCCACTCCGAAGACAAGGACGCGCAGGCAGACGAGGTGGAGAAGGACCTCGGTCTGGAGTCCATCGTGGAGGCCGCCCAGGGTCTTGCGCTGGACGACTCCGAAGAGGAAGAGGACGAAGACGGTGACCTGACAATAAAAGTCAACACGTCGAGTGTAGTTGAGCCAGCCTCCCATGTAATTGAGGGTGCTGCAGCTCAATCTCCAAAAAAGCAAGCTCGTGTCGACGGAGCTCCTCATTGACATGGAGCAAGGGCCAGTCGATATAGCTTTGGTCCAGGAGCCATGGATTGCCCCTGGCAATGCTGTGGCCGGACTAGAGTCCTCCAATTATAACCTTTTCCACTCACCATCGGTAAGCAGGAACAGAACCGCCGTACTCGTACGGCATCCATGCTTACCTTCTGTCTTATTACAGCACTGACGACCTGACTGCGCTGATGCTTGAAAGCGAGGACAAGCGCCTTATGGTAGCTTCCTGCTATATGGCACACGACAGGCCAGCGTCACCGGAATCGCTAACGAGTCTGGTGGCGGAGGCCAGCCCGAAAGACCAGCAACTTCTCGTTGGTACGGACGCCAATGCCCACCATAGCGTGTGGGGAAGCCAGATATCAACAACAGAGGTGAGTCACTTCTAGACTTTATACTATCAACTAAATTAGATGTAGCAAACATGCCCACCCTCGAGAACGAAAAAGAGGACCAAGCCACTCTGGTGGAACTGGAACTTATCGCTTCAACGAAACAACCTCAAAGAATTCTTCAAGCGAATTGATGGACAGTGGACTGAGGGCTGTGACGAAGCCCTAACAGCACTAATGGAAGCTCGCTTCCCAGGATGCACCGAGGTTGCTGACGCTACAGCGCATAAGGACCTAGTAACTGAGGAACAGCATCCTCCACCAGATCCCACATCGTCTAAGTGAATCCACTGGGCTATAGACTCCTTTGCGGGTACAAAAGCACCTAGACTAGACGGTACATTTCCAGCCATGCTACAGGTGAGCAAAGACGTGATCAACCCATGGCTTAGCTTGCCTGAGCACACTCTATACCTTGAGGAATATCTTCCTTCCAAAGGCAGGAAAGTGCAGCCATATGAGCCCAAAGGATTATAGACCGATAAGCCTCACCTCTTTCTTCTCTACTCAAAACACTAGAAAAGCTGCTGCATCTACACATCAGAAACGATGTAGGGGGACGAATATCAACCAACCAGCATACCCACACCAAAGGGAAATCAGTAGAGACGGCACTGCATTCGCTAGTAGCCACCATCGAGAGTAACTATACTATACTAACTAACATCAAAACTATACTCTAGGAGTGTTCGTAGACATATTCTAAGTTGTAGACGGGTGTATTAAGAGTGGGGCACCGCTTCAATGGTGAAAGGGGCTCAGAGAGCACACCTCAGGGTAGAGTCCTGTCGCCCCTCCTGTGGAATCTGGTGTTCGACGACCTAATCAAGAGATTCGAAAGGAGAGCCCCAAAAATAACGCCTTATGCGGACGACAAAGGCATAATTATTACGGGAGTGTGTCCATCGACCCTCAGCTCTATAATGGAATCAACACTCAGGCATTAGCATCTGCTCTAATGAACTGGATCTACATTTCGGTGGTGCGACTGACTCTTCTGTTTTAGTCTTAGTGTGGTGGCAGGCTACGGAAAAAAGACCTACAATAAGCTTATGGAAAACACTCAGCGGCAGGCACTACTCTGCATCACTGGGGCGCTGAGGTCAACCCCAACAAAAGCACTCGAATCAATACTCGGAATCGACCCCCTGGACATCCACGCTTAACTGATTGCAGGTAAGGCAGCACAACGCCTAGTCGCATCAGGCAATATGTTGAACGGATTCGGGCACAGTTCAATCGGCCGAGTCGTGATCAGTATATCTGACTACATGATCCCCCGAACTTGTCTGGATGTCGAGGCAACCTCATTTATGGGACCAGACGACTGGAAAGAGGGTCGGGAACAGACTCATCACTTCAACATCTACACAGACGGCTCCAAGATGGAAGTAGGAGGTACTGACCTTGCGATAAGGCTGTCCTATAAGCTACCGGACCAATGCAGCGGCGGAGGCTGCTCAGTCTATGGATCGTTTACACGACGTGATTAACCTGATTAATCTGACGGCGATAAGATCCATGCAGTCGTCAACGGTCAGCTCCAAAAATGTCTTGGCAAGCAGGCAGGCACTAGATATCCTAAGCATGACAAAGATACTACTTACTGCACCTACCACGGAAAAACTGCAGAATGCTTGTGGGAATACTCACAGGTGACTGTCTGGCACATGCTGTCAAACTAGTCATCACCAACAGTGGAAACTGCAGGAAATGCGATAAAGCCGGGGCTATCGAAACCCTGGAATATCTCATCTGCGGAAAGACAAAACGTCACCCTACAAAATTGTATTACATTGTTTGTTTATTGTATTTCCTAGTGCTACAAGCTAGGTGCTTATAACACTAGTCAACACGACATTTCCGCTGTGGCCCAAAATGACTTTTTTTCGTTAAATTTCGGGATTTCAAATTTTTTAACGAATTATGGGTTAGTTTTTTTTTAAAGAATTTTTAAAAATCTTGTATTTTTTAATGTTTTTTTTTCAGAGGTAGTGCTGCTATTTTTCACATAACTTTGCAGTTTTGAAAAGCTGACAAGTGCAGCTATAAATCCGACCAGACGATTTGTAGCTGCAGCTTAACGCCTCGAAGATATTAAGCTTTCAATTTCAAATTTCATCATTTTTTGCGGTATTTTTTTCCGAAATTTTGATTTTAAAAACTTAGTGAAAGTCGAAAAAACAAAATTATTGGCATGCATTTTTAGTTTTAGATAGACGCATTCATTAGGCGTTGTTTAAGGTATTGTTGTGAGCTGTCGGGCTTTTCCGACCGCGTGAATAAATTTAAAAAAAAAGAGAAAGTCAGAACGCGAATCGTTAAACTTAACCAACTTGGCTTTATTCTCGACAAGCGACAAATTCAATCCGTGTGTTTTATGGCGAAGGGTTACTGAACATATAACTACTTTTCAAGGCTCGTTGGACTATATTAGTGCGTTCCGTTTGCTCTCACGGTTTCGACTCCCCCTCTCTCAAGAGCAATGACAATCACTTAGCCCGCTCAACGCTATGCACTTGGGCTTGATCTACGATCAGTGAGCGTGCATTCGATGTAAGAGCGACAGCTAGCGCAAAGAGCTTGTTGCCAGCGGCTGCTCCGAACAGGTATTTTTCATTAAAATTTATGGAGAGACGGTGGAGCTATAACTCGTTAACCAAACCTAAAAAATAGAACGATTGGGAACAAAGCAAATGAAAAGGGGTTGAATTTTTGGTTCCTGAAGGTGTTCCGTTGGCATTAAATGTTGTTGACAGTTACTTTTTTTCGTTGTGTTTTTTTTTATTTGCTGTTATGTTGCTACAAGTTTTTAAACGTATGTGATAAATTTGGTTTTCTACTGCTTGTTACTATTCTTAAAATAATTTAAGTTTTCTGGCTGTCTTCCTTTGTCATTCGAATCAGATTCCCTTGTTAGAGTACACACATAGTCGCCCAACATATTCTCATTCCAAACACATTGATACCGTCGTTCCACAGCTTTTAATTTTTAGTGAAACCTCTCTCCGTGTTCATCACTAGCGTTCCCTAGGTAAGTCGGAAAAAAGTTTAAGTGGGAGTGCAGGAAATGGATTGTTAGGGCCATGTTTGCTCCAATGTTTTCATAATTCTCAATTAGGTCTTGAAAGATATTAACGTAATCATCACTCTTGCTGTTGGCTGCTTTTCCATTCGTAGATAAAATATTTTCAAATCCATCATCTTTTAATAGTTTTCGAATTGAGGGGCCATCAAATACGCCTTCTTGAACTTTTTCCAGCGACAGACGTGGAAAAAAGTTTTTAGGTAACTCATCGATTCACCATCCTTATCCAGTTCTTTAACCAAATTTTTCATTAGTCCCAGCTTAGTTTGTAATGGTGGCAAAATAACGTCTTCAAACTTCACAAATGCTGCATTTTGTATGTTGTAATTTTCCAATGTATTTTTCTACCATTTTGGCCAGAGTTATCTTGAGTAATGCTCAGTTCTAGCCCTACTATCCCATAGGTACAGGAAGCAGCAGTATTTTGTGTAACCACCTTGCAATCCCGTTATTTTGAATGAAAAAAAAAAAACATTCAGAGCCCTGAATCTTCGGTTTTCTCCAAAGCATTAGAGTAAAAGTAGCTGTTCATACCTAGGACTCGGTAAAATAAAAATTACAGGTCCTTTTTGTTTCTTGAAATTCCATTTTGGCAGTTGGACCAGCAAAGTACCGGACGGTATTTTTTCAGGTAAAAGGTTTTGAGTTGTTTTGGTCAGACGGCTGCAACTTGGCTGTTTATCCATCGATTCTTAAAAACAATACCTTACACGACCCCTAATTAATTCGTCTATCTAAAACTCAAAATGCATGCCAAAAAATATTTTTTTCGACTTTTCCTGAGTTCTTAAAGTCAAAAAATCGGAAAAAATCTCAGTCTGTCCAGGGCCCGGCCTTTAATACAGCAAGATTTTTTATTGAAGACCATAGAGACGGGGTCGGGGAGGCATATAGGCGGTGCGAGGTGCCTCTTGGGTAGGACATAAACGTAGGGCGGCGTTGGCCCAGAGTTATGGGCAGCGGTGACGGACCGCCTGGTCGATAGGACATAGGGCACGCCCAGTGGGACGTAGACCCCGTGGAAGTGGGACGCCTCGCCGCGCTTGGGTTCGAGGGCAGGGCACGAGGTGCTGGCTGACCCTGGGTATGTAGGTGGATAGGCAACAGGGAAGGGGAAAGAGCCCGGTTCGTGAAGACGGGGGCATCCGCGTACTGTCTCACTTAGCTGGCGTCCCCGTGAGGAAGGAGGGTAGGCGAGGGGGAAGGGGGAGGGGACGGGAGGGTAGCAGACTACGGCTCCACGCTTGGGTAGCGGGGCGGAGGAGGTTAGGCAAGAGGGAGAGGGAAGACCAGTTCGTGGATGCCGGGGCATCCGCGTACGACACCACTGGCTGGCTTCCCAAACATGCTAGGGAGGGGACGGGAAGGTAGTTGACTACGGCTCCACGCTTGAGTAGCGGGGCAGAGGAACGTAAACTACAAAGCTACAAATTACCATGTATGTATAAAAATATGTGTGTAGGTTTTAATAGTTGTCTTTATTTCCTGCCTACAAGCTTAGTGTCTGTGTGAGTGTGTGTGTGTCCCTAATCCCTACGATCGCACCTATCTCTCTTCTCCTTCTCATATACGTGAGGCCAGCTTACCCCTCTCCTTCCTGCTCCGCTCCTGTCTTCCTGGTGTTCCACTTCTGTTGGCTCCTGTTCCGCTCCTCGTCTTCTGCTTCCACTTTCACTTTTTCTTTTTCCGCTTGCGACCGGCCAGTTCTAGAGTCAAAACTTCTGTCCCGATCCTCTGTTGGTGCGTGCCTTCCTTGGCTCCCAACTCTGTGTTTCTCTGCCGCTAGCCTCTGCTGGCGCTTCGGCTTTTCGGCTCTCTCCGCTCTTCTTCACGGGAGTCGGTGAGTCTCTCCATGTGGCGTGGGCAGCGGTCCTCGCTCGGCTCTGTGGGTGGGTGGGAGTTCCTTCGGTCGCGCTTGTGGCTGAGAGTCTGCGCGTTTCTCCCCTACTCATTGTTGCGTGCGCTTGCGCTACGGCGTGAGCAGCGGTCCAAGCTCGGTGATGTGGGTGGGCAGGTGGTTCGGCTCTCTTTTGTGTCGTTGTCGTTGCTCTTAATCTCTTTCTCTTCGCTCGCGGTGGTGGTTCCGGCGCTGGTTCTAGTGGGCTGGTACCGATGTGCTGGTTCCAATGATGGTTCCGATGTGCTGGTTCCTATGCTGCTTCCGATGTGCTGGTTCCTATGCTGGTTCCGGTTCTGGTCAGGGTGAGGGTTCTGGTCCCTCAATAAAGGATAGGCGCTATATTTAAATTTGTATGGCTATTTAATATGGACGGCTTAGAACTAAAAATAATGAGAATATATAACTAATTATAAAGATGACGTGTGGGTGAGGTAGGTGAGGAGCTGAGACCGGTGAGGGGTTGGGAAGGGTTCCTTCAAAAGTTATGTGAAAAAGAGAAGATTTTTTTAAATTCTTAATTCTTAGAAAAACCATAGTTTTTTAAATAATTTTAAGTCCCGAAATCTATCAGAAAAAGTCATTTTGGGCCACAGCGTAAATGTCGTGTTGACTATTGTTATGGTAATTATTATTTCATTTTATACGTAGCGAAGCACGTACCGGGCCGCTAGTATATCCATAATTATTCATACGAACCTGGATTTTGTAAAACGGCATCTGAAATAGCGGCTGAACTTTGGGAACCATGGCTGAGAGATGGCGAGAAGGCGACAGGCGCTAGGATACTGATCGAGACTCGGAAGAGAAAGGAAGGAGAGTCCAGAGCGGTGTTTGCGGCAGGCCTGAAAGCAGCAGGAAAAACGGCAGCGAAACTTCAGCCAGCGACGAGCAAGAAACCGAACATGTCTACGAACACGACTACGAAAAAGTGAAAGAGATAACTGCTACAGAATCCAATGTGCTACAGACCAGTAAGAAAGAGACGACGGATGTGGATGGCGTGGTCTTGGAGAACGCGACAAACGGTTAACCAAAGCAGAATACTAACAAATATTATGAGGGCCACAAAGGCCCATACGTTGTATACATTGATAAAAAAAAAAGTGACAATAATACCAGAAAGGCTATTAACCAGTTCGAGCTATCCGATCTGTTGCTAAAATTGGGCATTGGCGATATCGAGGAGGATGCCAGAATAGGCTATGGCAGGTGCAAGATTGGGGTAATGGAGAACAGTGGATTTGCTGCTCAAGGGTACTCAACCCGCATATTAAGGCACTTTGTACAAAAGCAGAGTTAATTTTTGGGATCCCCAGGCACTATTCGGAGGAACGGCTGTCGGAGCTTATTACTTTGGACGTCCCAAATGAGGAGATAGTACGAAGAATTAAAAGAGACAGCACAACAGGGGAACGTGTACCCACCGGGAGGGTAAAACTCTGGTTCATAGGGGGGCATCCAAAACAAATCAAATATCTATATATCTGGGAGCCATTCCTGGTGGAGCCAAGCAATGTACTGAAAGGGGACCTGATAGTCACGAAGTTTATTCACGAGATTAGGGAATTTGTTAATGCCTCCAATGCAGATCTAAACCGTCTGCAAATCGCCCAAGGGATGGAAGAGGTGTACCTTAACACTTAACAATGAAGATTCTTCAACTAAACAATCAAAGTCTGACTTATAATAACAATAAACAGCTCCTATACATGTTCCTACTGAACAAAGATATTGATATTGCCATCCTCCCGGAGATTTGGGTAGTTAACAACGCGGACTGCAGTATTCTAGACTATAATTTTTTCTGCAAGCCCAGAGAGGACGGTTATGGCGGAGTAGGCATCTATATTAAAAAAAGCATACGATATAGCATCCTTAAAATAGACAACAATTTACAAGTCGTAGGAATTAAGACCCTGAACCTTTAAAACAATTTTAACATTCTTAGCGCATAAGCTGCGCCGTCAACGACATTCTCACAATTTAAATCAGGCATGAAAAATGTGTTTCAGCTTGCGGCATCCCTTGAAAACCCATCAGTCGTGGCAGGGGATTCTAACGCCAAGTCTTCATTTGGGGAAACACTTCTAGTGACCGCGAGGGTTGCACCTTCGAGAATGCTACTCGAGAGGCGAAATTCATCTGTCTTAATGGCGGCTCTCCAACCTTCTCTAGGAACCCATCCCAATTCTCAGTTCTTGACCTTTTCATTTCCAATCACAGAAACGGCAATATTTCCTGGCAAGTCCTTCAATCCAAAATTACGAACAGTATCCACTTCCCAATAGTTATAACAGTCGAAGGTCTAGATGCTACCCCTCAAGAAAGAAAGTTCTGCAAATCGTATTCTTGGAACAAGCAACTTTCAAACCTGAGGAACTTAATGAGAAGGTTAGATCCCTGAACAATAAAAACACAGTCACCATTCCCAGCCAGTACAAGTATGTTGCCAATAAATCGTGGAATGAGGAAACAGAGAAACTGTTACACGTATGAAACGCTTGTAGACAAAAATCAGACAAAAAAAATTGGAAACCGACCAATACCTTCAAGTTCAGATAAAAAATAGCAAAAAATTAAACTTCTCGAAATTCATCGAAGAGGTATCCTCATCGCCCTCCATGTGGAGCAGGGTGAGGAATCTCAAGAAGTACGGTCAAGTCAAAAATGTAGGGAACATATGGACGGACGATGACGACAAAAGCTTTTTGAAAATGGTTAAAGAAACCCCATTCACTGCCAACAATAGACCCCCAGACTACAGTTACCCCCCTGATTGGTCCAAGTGACCCTGAACCCTTGGACCGGGAGGAATTTCTGTCTTTTTTTGAAATCCAGGAACCCAAATTTGACGAGAGGCCCAGATGGCATCTCGTTCAGAATGCTTCAGCAGCTTCCAGTGGGGAAAAACAGATTATTTTTGAAATTATAAACAGGGTATGGCTCAGTGGCATCATCCCAGTTACACATTCCCAAGAAGAACTCTGACCTTACCTCCTTCCAGAACAGAACAAATGGGCCTTTGTCTTATAAATACTCTGCTTAAGTCTGTTTAACTGGACGAGCACATTTCCAACCATGAGCTTTTGCCGGCCAGATCCTATGCCTTCAGGAGGAACAGGTCCAGTGTACTTTGCATCAACGACCTGATCAATAAGGTCCTAGCACTACACGCGAGGGGATACCAGGTTGTAGCGGCCTGTCTTGACCTACAAAAGGCTTTCGACTGTGTAAGAGTGGATAATCTTGAGCAGAAGATAAGTGTCATGCAGTTTGACCCAAATCTCATTACCTGGATCACCAGTTTTCTCAACAGGCGTATACTCATCAAGGGCTAAAGCGAGGTAGTGGTGAATAGGGGGGTTAGCCAGGGTAGCTGTCTCAGCCCAACCCTGTTCAACCTTTACACCGCAGATCTGCATGAGAGCATCGACAATTTCTTCCACAAAGAGATTTTCACTGCTAAACGTATGCTCGTAGGTAGCATAGATAATTTTGAGCCAAAATGCAACAGACCTTTAACCCGGCCAAATCTAAAGTAATTCACTTCAACAACCGTAGAACCGAGCTGAACATCTCTCATCAAGGCGTCGAAATCAGATCAGATAAAATACCTAGGCAGAAAAATATATGAGCGAACAACTCAGCCGCAGTGCACATTGAGCAGGCCATATCGGAATTAAACAGAAACTGTGCGTTCTTAAGACTACTCAGTGGGTGCCACTACGGTATCAGCCAAAAGAGGGGACTCATACTACACAAGGCCTTCGTCAGAAGTAGACTAGAGTACGCTTGCTTGTCTCTCAGCAACCTGTCAATACCCGCTTTGATCAAAATCAAATCACATTGTAGCCACCACCTCAGGAAGTCACTAGGCTTGATCATTTGCACTCCCATTCCGATCATTTACCACATGGCGGGAGAACTTCCTCCAGAATACAGAATGAGATTCCTGGCGGCTAAGGAGTTAGAAAAGGTGTTTGCATACAATCTCCCAGCAAGTAGAACGGTGCCCCTAAATAGGGATTTAAATACGCGCTACGCAAACGCATTTCGGGAGTTTGCCGGCATTTAAGATAGATGTCCTTGAGAGCACAACAACACACTGTACCAAAATTAGGCTTCTTCAAGGGGGCCGCTGCTAATAAGCACACCATAGACCAGTCGGGTATATTAGTTCTACACAGGGAAAAGAGGGCACACCTAGCAATGGGAGGATTTGAGATATACTACACTGATGGGTCAGTAGGTAACAAACGTTCCAGCGCCGCTTTCCTGCACGACAACTCAGGTTTTATAGACAGCTTTTACACACACAAAACCCTATCCTCTCTGTCGGCCGAGTTGCTTGCAATCGAAAAGGCCTTGGATCATGATATCTCGAACAGCTTCCCTCGTGTTGCGTTCCTAACGGGCAGCAGAAACGATGCTCTTATACTCGCAAGTAGCATTCAGGATAATTTTATTGCCTAAAAAATCAGAGTAAAGATCAATTACAACCATTATCTAAAGTCGGTAGAAGTTCACTACATACCCGGCTACGCCAACATCCCTCAAAACATATTAGTAGACACATAAGAAGCCCATAGACTGGGAAAATACACGGTTGTAAAATGGACTCTCAAAGATCCAATCTGTGAAATACACAGAATATTAAAAGAAGAATGGGAGAGAGAATACGCCGAGTTTGCCAGGGCCAAGCACAGAGGATACTGCTCGCTTTTTCCTTCTACCTCATCCAAACCATGATAAGTAAAGAAGACTAATCTGAAAGCCATTGACGCTAAAGGAATCAACAGACTGCTCAGCGGTAACTCATTTGACAGGCACGGCACACACTTGACAAAATGCATGTAGTTCCAAGTAACATTTGTGATACATGCGATACTATCGATAACGCCTCGCATATAATTTTTAATTGTACCAAGTACAATAAAACAAAACTAAACTACCTATCTCTAAGAAAATATAATGATATTTACAAATTCTTTGAAAAAGAAAACATCAGCTCGTACCAAACATTAATCGACTTCATCGACAAAATTGACGTTAAACTGTAATAAGCTGTCTTCTTCGACTTGGCAATTTCCACCTTGTAAAGGCGGGCGGCCAAATAATCCCACCCAATCCTACTCAAGGGTAGAGTGGTAACATAAAACACAAAAAAAAAAGTTTTTCATACAAATATTTGAGTTGTCTGGTGAGGGTTATTTTATTATTATTATTTTTACATGAATCCAGAGATTCTCTCGTTGCGCCTTAATCCGAATATGTATCTAGCTATATTATTAAAGCACACGCTAAACTTTTGCCTGTTTGCGTAGCCATAGTTTTCAAATGCCTCAATCCCAAGTGAGTACAGGTACTAGGTATTCTTTGGCTATCTGCATCCGGATGCTTACTGGCATAAATAGCTTGGTAATATTAAGTGCTCTTAGAATCCCATAAGTTTTTCCAACTGATTTGGTCACGAGATCATCCCACGACAGAGTACTGTTTATTATAATGACTAAATTAGTTGTACATGTGCACTTTACAGTCGGACAATACTATTGGCAAATCATTTACATAAATCGAGAACACTAACCGACCAAGTACTGATCCCTGGGACACCACACTTAACATAGGCAAAGGACGACTTTTTCCCGTCAGCAACAACAGCCTAGCTCCTATTTAGGAGACAGGACGATAGCAACCGTACTGCTGAGTCAGAGAAGTTGTAGGATTCGTGAAGCTTTGCGATGAGGATGCGTTGGTCGACTGAGTCAAAAACTTTTGTGTAGTCAAGATGAGTTAGAGACGTTACATTTCCGTCGTCTATACTTTCACGGATATCCTCTACAATTTTTATCGTAGCAGTTTTACAACTTCTATTTATTCTGATTGTTGTTTAGTAATGTGGGCTCTGTAAGAAATGAATTTGTTTGTTCAGCTCCCAAGGTCTCGAACGCTTTTAACAGGGTCGGGCTTATGGATATTGGCCTAAAGTCTGGAGGGTTTGCTTTTGGGATAGGGATTATTTTAGCCTCCTTCCACTTTTCCGGGAACGTTGATGTAGGAACGGTTTTGTTAAAAATGTGAGTAACTTGCATAATGATTCTAGAGAGTACTTTTTTTCTGGACGTTGATGCAATAATGCACCATCATGCCCGTGCGACACCAAGGTACCAAAACCTGTTACGCGCGGAACCCAGGCAGAAACGCAGCCCCTCCTCCCACCCAACCGATCGAGGGGCACTGCCGCATGACGCGTGTAACCGAACCGATCGCGAGCATGCAGACTAAAATTCGAGCAAAATTAGAGCTAAACACAACTCAAAGAGCTCAACATGCAAAGATAGCTAAAAAATAGTACTAATAACTGAAAGTTATTGAGATCGGATTGCAAGCGAGAGTGAATTGAAATGTCTTTATACTGGACACAGTGTTTAAAATCATCCGCATACATAAGTGCTCGAGAGTTTATTCATACTGAAGGCAGGTCATTAAAAAAGAGTGTGAAATGTAGGGGCCTGGATGGCTGCCCTGTGGTACTCCAGAAGTAACCTTAATAGGTAAAGAGAAGGTGTTTTTGAAGAGGAATCTTTGAGACCTAGAACGAAGGTAGCTAGAAATCCATCTCAAAAGATTGGGAGGAAGGTCAAGTTTTTGTGCTAGAAGGGAATGGTTTACAGAATCGAATGCTTTACTGAAATCAGTGTAAATAAAATCCGTCTGCAAGTTACCTTGAAAGCCTTTAATGGTAAAAGAGGTAAACTCTAATAAGTTTGTGGTTGTTGATCGTCGCCTTATAAATCCGTGCTGAGATGTTGCAAATGCGGAGTTAAAATTTTTTCAAACCTTTTAGGAATAGCGGATAACTTAGATATACCTTTATAATTATTTCAATCAGACTTGCTAACTGGTTGCGAATGAGTGGACTGTATTAATCTTTATGTATTTTTATTTGATTCATATGTAATATTAGTGGTTTAAATGTTATTTGCACAGCGGGTTATACAAAGCGGGGGCGACAATAGCGGTGCGATGATGAATACGCGTGCGGGTACTCTCAAGTATAGTTTGGCACTGACTCAACTCCACCAATAAAGTCGAGCCCAAAAGGGAATTAGAAGATCACGCGATGCGACACTCCAATACCAAGACGGTGCACATCGATGTCTTCGTGTGCAGCTGCGCGTTTTGGCTATACGCGTGAGAATGTTACAGTTAAGTTTTTGGACATAAGCAATAAGAACAGCGGGCAAACAATCACGAGCATATGATTAGGGCAACTCTTATATGAATGAATATTGACTTAAAACTAAGCGATTAATTCCTCAACATACCGGCCCCCCTGAACGAATGTTCAGTTAAAGGGAAGCACAGCAATTTTGGTGATAGGTCTCTTGTACACTCCTCGGGCAGTTTTTACGGTGACCACTCGAACTCTCTCGTCTTGACCAGGATGAACTTCGGTGATGCGGCCAAGCAGCCACTTGCTAGGAGGTTGATTCGGCTCCTTCAGTACCACAAGCGTATCCACTGTTATGTTGTTGGTCTCCTGCTGCCATTTGGTGCGCGACTGCAAGGAAGAAAGGTATTCAAGATTCCAACGTTTCCAGAACCCTTGAACCTTGGCTTGCAGCTGTCTCCAACGCTGCAGTCTGTTAATGTTCACGTCCAAGAACGATGGCTCTGGCACCGACATATGAGGTTGACCTGTAAGAAAATGAGCGGGGGTAAGGGGATCCAGGCTGTGATCGCTGGGAGCGCACAGTGGGCGAGAGTTTAGTAGACCCTCAATCTGGGTTAAAACAGTGGAATATTCTTCGAAAGTTAATGCACTGCTCCCAATTACTCGACGAAGGTGAAGTTTAATTGATCGTACGCCAGTCTCCCAAATACCTCCAAAATGCGGGGCAGACTGCGGAATGAAGTGCCAGTTGATTTCCTGACTCGTCAGAAAACTTGCAATGTCCTCATCTTGACTTTGAGATACAGCCATCCGTTGCATTTCCGTTAATTCCCGTCTGGCTCCGTGGAATGTTGTGCCATTGTCTGAGTATAAGTCGGATATAGGGCCACGTCGAGACCAGAATCGTTAGAAAGCTGCGATAAATGCGGAAGTCGTCAAATCACTGACGAGTTCGATATGAATTGCTTTGGTGGACAGACAAACAAAGATAGCAAACCAAGCTTTGCCAAACTTCGGTGTCCGACCTACCGATGTCTTGATAATAACTGGTCCAGCGTAATCCAATCCAGAATGCAGAAAACAGCGGGTGGGCTGAACCCGAAAAGCGGGAAGATCAGCCATGAGTTGTGTGCTCGTACCTTTACGCTGGAGGAAACAAAT